GAGGCACTTATCCTACAATCACGAAGAGCAGCTACATAAAAATCTGCGTTCATCTCGTATTAATTCTTCGGTTTATATTTTCAGGAAATTTCCAAAGTTATTACAGCAAATCATCTTCCTCTTTTCTCCATCTTCCTAGAATCCTGTCTTGCGGAGGAAAATACACAAGAAAGTCGATGTACCTCGTTGAATGCAATAGTATGTAATACCCAATAATATAAAGAGTTGTATGTATTAATTCCATGCATACTTATCCGAAATCGTTGAATGCAACTTTTACTGCTTTCAGTATAAATCCTGTAATTCCGGCTGTTAAAAGTTTTGTTATTTGGAAACTGAAAGCTTCTGTTTATTTTAGTGAATAAAAAAATTAAATAACATAATAGTTTGATAATTAAATTTAACTATGGCAAAGCTCACTTGACTTAATGACTAACGAAGAGAAAAACCTTTTATATAGTTCCAATTGTTAAGAATAGGACCCGGGGAGATTATTACCATTTCACGCCTTTCATTCATTACTGTCGAATCCAAGCGAACGGCTGGCTTCATGGCTTAGTGGTTTACTCCATGTGTAATGTGCATACGAGCCAGGTTCTATCAGAAAGTCCTCCACGAAGGCATTCTCCCCTCTTAGGCATATAACCCTAGTGTGCTTTGCCGTAATAAACTGTTGATTCTAATAAATTGTTGAACCAAAAATTCATTCATTACCGAATGGCTTACCAACGGGGAAGGAAATAAGATCACAAAATATTTATAATTCATTCTAGTTTAGTTAAGTGGCAAAATGCAACAGTCAGCCATCCTGTTCTTACAGACACAAACCCGAATCGAACTAAGTTTAGTGGTCTTATTCGTTTGATTATTGGCGAGCGAAACTGAAATAAAAATCGAGTACGTAGCGCAAATATAAATGCATTTATTGATAAGATTTTAGAGCTTATGGATTACCCGTTGTTGGATTTGCAGCTGTTTTTTTTCCTCCATTAAAACAAATGTTAATTCTCTTGACTATCTATAAATGAGACGAACTATATTCGCAAATATAATTCTTCAGCTCTCGAACTCTTTTTTTCAGTCAAATGCAAGACAAAATACAACAGTAATTGTTAATTTATAACCTTCCTTGTAAAAACAAAAGTTGGTTCATTAAGAACCATTTAGGATTAAATGAAATGAAAGTTCAGAAATTGTGAGTGTGTTGTGATATCACGCTTATTCATAAACTGAGGCTAAATCCCGCTGTTTGGCGACAGTTTCGTAGTCGACGGGATAATACGTAAGTAAACAGTCTTTTCGCGCATAAAACTGGAAGTATCCAATTTAAATTTGCTGAAATGTTAATGATTTTTATTTTATTAAATTTTATTACATGCTAACTAAACATGTATTAGCAACGTTTCAATCTATGTATGCATCTGAAATACCCTATATACGAATGGTTTTCAACCAGAGGAGAATACCTCTCTCAGAAAGAATTTCATCGTTTGAGGGGATGCAGTCAAACTTTTATTTACTTGTTAATGATTTAATTTTAGTTTATTATTATTAAAAACTATTTTTATTCAAGTTTTAGTATTTATCAATATTTATATACTTTCTGTTGTTTAATTTATAAAACGCATTAAAAATAATCTAAATTTATGTAAATGTGTTTTGCTATGTGTTTGCTGTTTTGCTTTTTTAAATTGCTAGTTTTGGAAAAGATAAGTTTGGAAAATGATCGTCTAGCAATGGTGAAAGGAGTGTATGCCCCCCCCCCAAATTGAACCACTGCTTTGTGCATTTGAATTTAATGGCTCCCTATTTCATACCCTTTAAGGTTTCTTACCTACATTTATTAAATTAAAGGAGCTGAAAATTCAATTTTCAAATGCTGTTACAATTTATCATTTCTTTATGCCAGTTCCCTTTGAATTAGCATTTTGATATAAGATTTGAATAATTTATTCTACCAAAACATTTTCAGCTTAGAAATGTAGTTTCGCCTTTTTCAATGAAGTGATAGTAATACTTTTACATCCATTAAAAGCTACATAATACTAATTTAACATATGTTTGTGAAAAAAACACCCGTAAGTAGCATTATTAAGTTTTAGTGTGAATCCATGTTAAAAGATACTTAGACTAGATAAGAGGAGATGAAATATTCACAATAACATTTCAACAAACATGATTTTAAATTTATTATTTACTCCTGATAAATTTTGACAAAAGCTAAGCATATTTTAAAAAATACACACCAAAAGAGTATTCTGAATTCTAACACTTAAAAATTTACGGAAATCATAATTACTATTCACTCGATAACAAGCACATGAAAGATGTTTCAGACAGAACAAATACAAATTTTCTTATCAAATAGCCCAACTAAAATATGGCTCATTAAAAGTAAATTTTCAATTTAAACATTACCAAATTATTAAGAAGATTGTGAGATTTAATGTATCTTTTTATTTAACTCCTATATCGAAAGATCGCTGGCAAAGTTCATATGCAGCAAAATTTGACCACAAAAATACACTTTGATACAGTAATGCAAAATGTTTTTTGAGGGGGAGGGTGAAACTAGTTAGCTTATATATATATTCCCCTCCCCCCAATTTTGCCATCATTACTTGGGATCTTTACTTCCCCATTATGTTCTTCTTAGCAGCAGAGTGGCTATTAGTCTCCGTCCTCATTTTTCTGTCCGTATCCCTTTTCAAATAAAGGGATGTTGCCGGTAAATGTTATCGCAAGGTATTATTTTTAAAGAAATAATATTGCGAATATATAAGAGCAAATATATGGCAACTCTTAAGACTCTATCGGGAGTTCTAAAAATAAGATATTTTTAACTAGTTTGTGATTTTGCTGCTGAGGTTAATGTGATGCAAATTCAAAAAAAGTGGTGTTTAATAAATAAAGTTAGAAAGGCAGAGATTTAATAGTAATTAGATAGAAAAATTTGTATAAATCATCTTACTAAGAAAAATGAATATTGATATAATGAACAAAAAAAGACTGAAAAACATTAATGGCAACAATTAACACTGTATCGGTAATCCTAAGCATATGCATGCTGCTTTTAAAAAAATTGCGATTTTGAAGTTGAATTTTATGTGGCATAAGCGTGAAGAAAGTAATGTTTAGCAATAAAGTTAAAAAGAGAAAAAAAATCTGTTAGTAGTAGTGAGTCGAAGAGCAGTTTGGTAAACTGTGAGCTTAAAACAATCTTGACAAACCATCTGGTGCAACATTAAGATTTGAATCTCTTAAAATTCCTTTTCCTTTCTTTTTTTAAGTATCTTAAAATAATATAATTTGAAGTTCGATTAGTTCTCAGCCACGATAGAATATTTTATTAGGTAAATTATTTCTTAAGGTGTGTCTTGATCTTTCAAAACTTAACCCTTTCATTGAAATCAAGTATTCCAGAAAACATTCCCAGTAGGATGAAATTACTAACTTCTGAATCAGAAGTGAATCCTTTAGAATTATTTATATAACGAATGAATTATAATTTAAAAATTAATACCTGTGATTCATTTTACATATGATTATCCTACTTTAATAATGATGCTTTTTTCCCCATGTTTTATAAATTAATATTACTCAATTCAATTATAATAACAGTGAATTCCTTTCAGAATTCTAAAACAAAATATATGGAAAACTATTTTTTTCAAAATTTTGAGACACTATTTATCTCGTAACGAGACGCTATTCAATTAGAGAGCGTTCAAAATTTGAGAACATCGAAACAAATAAACAAAAAGCTATTTATTTCAAAATTTGACATACTATATATATGTACATTGAGCAAAAAAAAAAAAAAAAAAAAAAAAAAAAAAAAATGGGACAGATCTATATTCCCTGTTTTACTGGGCCGGTTGACGAAATTCAAAGTACGTTTTTCATGTCTCAAAAGCGCGAATTAGATATTAGATTTATATATCGCGCTGTTCTAATATAGGTACTTTAACACAAAAACGGACTTTTTCTGAAATGACATGCCGATTTTTTCCATATTTTGATTCTACGACTCAAATTATGCCAAACTGATAAACTTTGTAAAAATCGCACGAGTAGTGTTTAAAGCATCAGCTCTCAAAGTTTTAGCTCCTCATTAATTGAACCTATCTCTTTTTTTATTAAACTTATTTGATTCTTCCTTTCACATTTCGAAATTTAGGTTCGTTCCAAATAAAATTGGCCCATTTTTGATGATTTATGTTTAAAATTTGCATTTTAAAATAATTTTTATACATTTTTCGAAAAACATTTTGAATTATAACCTGTAAAAGGTTTTACATATCTTAAAGTAGATGTAGTTCTAGGCGCATCTGCTAGAAATTAGAGTTTTTTATTCAAGATTTTCTAAGATACACATGAATTTACATATTGGCGCGTTTTGAAATTTGACATATTTGTTATAAGCGATAATAACGCCAAATGTGGTTTACGCACTTTTTAAAATTTGTATGAAAGTATGAACGGTGACTTTTTCCGCCGTTCGTCTACAATGAAAAAGAGGAAAGGAAGTTAGGTTGCAATAAATTAAGAAGTTCGCCAAGTGAATTATTCTTGGCGCAAAACGAAAAAAATGCGCCAAAAATAAATTTTTGAATTTCTCCGTAAATCTCTCACCAAAGTTTACAAAATTTAATATCTAGGCAGTATGTAAGTCATAGAATCGAAATACGGGGAAAAAGTAGCATGTCATTGTAGAAAAATTCAGATTTTGTATCAAAATACCTATATTAGAACAATGCTATATATATAAATCTAATATATATCCAAGTAGCGCTTTTGAGACGTGAAAAACGCAATTTGAATTTCGTCAATTGGCCCAGTAGAGCGGGAGGTGTAGAACTGTCCCATTTCTTTTTTTCGCAGTGCACATATATATATTAATTATTTTAAAACGCCATTAATTCAGTTCATTTCCAAGGTTCGAGAACGTAATTTCGTTCATTCTTCAGGTATGAAAATATTATAAGAACATGACTTACTTTTTCGCATTTCCAAGTTTGACAGTGCACAAGATATAACAAATCAGAAACGCATTCCAAACGTTCATTGCACTGAGAATTCTGGAATTCCAGTTAGAAGTTAAGATTTAATATCTAAATTCGTAATTCTTTTCTATACTGTCATTTATCTGGATTTCTGCAAGTTCAGCAAGGATATTGATTTAGTAGGAGTGCGAAAGAGCTTCTTATGGTTACCAGTAGTTGCTTAAAAGTAAGGAGCAAAACACGAAATGTATACCAGACGGTATCGGTAGATGCATCGCCGATGGTCAGAGTTCATAGGTTACTCGGAGATAAGCATGCGCGAGGTCAGTGCTTATGACATATTGTGCAATCTCTTTCCTGAGAATCAAGATCTGACGATAAGTGTTCATCTTTATAATTCCGAAATATGACGGTTTCAAACATTGATAATTGCAAAATAACTGATACTTAAACTTTCATTTTCACTTTATGCAAAATTATCACACGTTAATGAACATGCATAATTTTTATCCACTTTTCCTATGAATTTCGTTTTATCAGCTGTAGTAGCCATTTTCGGAAAATGAAGTAAGTGGTCCATAATGATTTTTTTCCAGAATTTCAGGCATTTAAGTGCATTGTTATCATTGTTAAAAATTAATTACTTTTCCTTTTCTTAATCTAGCAGGCACAAGGAAAGAACTGCTAAATTTATGATTAATGCAAACTAATAAATAGTGCATTTTTTCTGAAATGAAAAGTCATTACAAAGGATCACTCTTGCTTAATTATTTTCGTCATAAACTAAGATTGCATTTCTGCTCTTTTATGAAAAAAGCAGCTTTCAAAAAACTTTAGATTATCACGAACCCAAGAAATATAACAAACAAGTTATTCATGACAAACAATACCACTATTCATTCTAACAGCAGTTTATGTCAAAACAAAACCAAGCAATTTCCTTTCGAAATTTATATTGACGTGATGTGATAATCAGAACTAGGCTTCTTCACATAACAAAGCAAATAATATGAAATACTTTGATTTGGCATTTATGAAATTTCGTTCCTTCGTTGCCCCTACCAGTATTATTTTCATACCATTTTTGAATTCTCTAGCGGGTATAGCCTCATTGTGAATATGCCAGTTATAAAACTTGACTGTAGAAAGTCAATCTTCTGTCTTCAGAAACCACATCAGTATGTTTTCTGGTCGAGTATATAGGTTGGTGTCCGCCGAAAATATCGCAGCAAATACATCGCGGACGAAAACGTAGCGGAGAAAGCAACGCAAGGCGAAAATGTTGTCGAAGAAAAGAGAGCAAGGTCGACCCATCTCAGTTCCAAAACGTGGTACAAAACATCAGCATCGAAAATGAAGCGGTTCAAAAACTTCGCAGTTTAAAAATATCGTCCTCGAGAATATCGTGGTAAAAAATAAAGCACCTACAAATCGTCGCATGACGATAACTTCACAGACATGAGTTTTCAGGCGTTAAAAATTCGCATATTCGCATCAGTACAAGAAGGAATGAGGAATGTTTTTACTTTATGTTTTACATTTTTGATTTAACTAATAAATTTTTGACGAAAAAATAAGAAGGAAATGAAACATTCAAAGACTGAAAATGAGTAATAAAATAGTTCTAGTTATAGCAGTTAACAGAATTTTAAGCTCTAATAATTAACAAATAAAAGTAATTAACTAATAAATATTTTTATAAAGCTTGAGCTTTCTGGCCAAGAGGAAAGCACAAGCAAAAGTGACGCATCAGTTCATA